CTACTCAATTCTGACTCTCGGCCTAATGCTTGAGCATGAACTAGAATGATGCCAAGAATTCCACCCAAGAAGCGTGTATGCTCTTCATCTTATTTGTAACATCGAACTTCAAGAAACAGGTAAAATTTTGGTAATTTTAAAGTATATTCTAAATTTAGCATTTTTCAAAAATTTTGGCTCTTCATCATATTACTATACTTTTTTTTCAGAAGTTGAGTGTTGTATTAATTATGTTGCACTATTTTTTTATGTAGTGTTATTTTAGGTGCTTTTATGTTTCAAATTTTTAGGTATTATTTAGTTGAATTATGTTATCTTGGAGTTGGGTTTACCATATCTATTTTTGTTATCATTTAACAAGATTAAAACTTTTTTTAAGACTTGTGGGTTATTCATGTTTAAACTATATAATGATTAACTGGTGTGAAGTTCATAAATTTTGAGGACAAAATTTTTATGGGAGATTGTAATATGTGTAAATAAATAAATAAATAATGATAATAAGAAAAATTGAATAGAAAGTTTGGGATAATCATCTATTCGATTAGGCTTAAGAGTCATATTTCCCCATTTAAACCAAACGAATTGAGAGAGCGAGAGATTGGGAGACGGTAAGCAAGAGACGGTAAAGAAGGAGAGGCATCCTACGTGCCATGGTCGAAGGATGAAAGAGGGAGAAGAGGAGGAACCCTAGCCAAAGTAGGAAATGTCGAAGGCTTTTTGTACAAAAGAAGATGACCTCATGTTCGGTGCTTGTGAGAAGTGATGACAGCATATACCCTAGCCAAGGTTTGCGCAAGTGACGAAGCCAAGAAAAAGGATTGAATGAGTTGTTGTGTGGGGGAGCTTACCGAACAAGCTTCCCGTGCGAGGAAGAGAGTAGCGCAGACGTCGCTTAAGGGAGACGACATTAAGGGCTAGTCCATTTGTGTAAAGAACATGGAGGATGTGGCATTGACTGAACAATTGGGTCGTGTGCATCCTATGCAGAAGAGGCGATAAAGTCGCTTGTTGGAGTGTCGAAGCCAAATAATAAAGGAAAAGAGAATCGTGTGGTTGGGTATTGATTGACTGTGCAGAAAGAGGAGGCAGAGGCGAGGGAAGAAGGAAGTCAAGTAGCACTAGATTTCATATTTCACTATCGTGTGTGAGTTTAGGCTTAAACCATTGGTTTAAGGTAAGATTAGGGTTATGTTTTCTCAATGTTATATATATATATATATATTAGATCTATATCACGATGCGGGAGCGCTCTGGCGTCGGCATCGGCGTCCTAGGGTTCCACCGCACCGATGGCGTTTGATTCTTCCTTGGGCTTCAGAGTCGACTTAGTCTTTTTGGCCGTCCTCTTTGGTTGTCTTATCTTCGTCCTCTTCGCTTTCATCCGTGGATTTCACTCGTTTCTCTCGTCACTGCCGCGAAGCCTTGTTGCCCGTGGACTCGGCTTCAACTCCCTTTTTTTCTGCTTGACTGCTCTGGATTGAGCGTTGCACTCGCGTCCTCTTTGCATGCAAGTGAGCTCGTCCTCCCTGCACGTACGTTAGCTTGCCGTTGTTCAACTCTTTGTTCCATGACTTCTGCTTTTTCTCAACCACCAGCTACTTCAGTTTTAAATCTTGGGAAGGCTTCTTTTGTTGATATGGTTGACTCTGTGAGATCAGATCAGGTTTTCTCTCAGGTTTATCATGAATCATTCGAAGGCCGAGGGGATTGCAACCTCATCGGGAAGACGAATAGGAAGAGTGACAAACTAGCTCTATTCTTCGCTGGTGTTGAAGGTGACAAGTAATTGAATAAAGGAGATTTCAGTGCGTGATCGAGATTGGCATAAGAAAAAGATTAAGGTAATGAATAGGTTTGATGTCGTTATTTTTGTAAATTATTTTGAATTTTAAATTAATATTAATTGAGATTGAAAAATGTGAATAGTAAGTTTTATTCAATGATATCAAATTTTGGCAAATTCAAGTTATTAAATTGGAGGATTGATATGAGTAAATCAATGAAAGGCTTGAGGTGCGTAATTATACTTTTAATTTACAATAATATTTCTTGTGTTGTTTTTAACATATTCCTGCTCACAATTTTTCATTATTAGGTTGTATATCGATGAATTAAATCACATGATTCTTAGTATTGTTAATCATAGTGTATGCATGTTAAATATTGTTGTATTAATAGTTTTATAGTAATTTATTTTAGAAATATATCATATTATTGTGCGACACTCATGTTCTATAGATATGTTAGTTTATTGGACGACCAAATATTTATGTCTGACTTTAGAATTCTATTACATGTGCATATTTGAGCTTATTTCATGACTTATAGATCTAGTGAGATTGCATTTATTCATCAGTAGATAGAGAAAGTTTTTCATAAGAATAGAATGCATGATATGAAAGAATAAAATATATATATGAACCCTTGTATGCGCATGCTAAGAAGAGTTCACTCTCTTATAGTACGAGCAGGGAATGTCAGTGTACTGCATGCGTAGATGTTTTTTCTACTACCCTAGATAATTATGATATTTAGATTGTTAACCGCTATGCTGACGGGAGAAAATCAGTCATGGGCAAGTAGACACATTTCTACCTCAAATAATCGTACAAATTAGATTACGAATAACTGTGCAGACATGATAATATCGGTCAGGAGTGTATTAGTTTATGTTTTGATGGTGCTCATAAGACGTATGTGAATATTAAGAGTATAAAGTGAAAGTAAAGTTAAAGGCTAAACTTTAGATAATAAAGTTAAAGCTAATGCATATAGAAGTGTAAGCTATTTTCATTAAGTAAATATTATGGACACATACATTAGATTAGTATTTAACTTTTTAGAATGAAATATGAAAGATCAGCGTGCATATTATTTTATTTTCTTTTGATTATTATAGTTTAGAAGTCTCATTGCTCATGGTTTATATTTAGATAACTCATACTATTTTAATATTTTTTTAAGCTTTAATTTTTTGAATAAAATGAATCGAGAATAAACCAATATTTACAGATGGCATAATCAGCAATCAAAGAGGTAAATCTTTAAATTGTAATTTAGTTTTTTTTCTTTAGTTGTTATTTCAATGAATATTTGAATAATGAATTGTAAACAATAGAAATAGAAATATAAAAAACTTAATTTCAACGTCCAACTATCTGTTCTCATCTTAGTTAATTTCAAGTCTTGGGTCGGGTGGTGACAAATTATCTTAAAATTTGGCATGCGAGCATCTCAACAAGAGGAACCCAACGAGTCCAAGATCATTCAATTTCTCTCATTAAATTACTTAAATGTTCAAAAATTACATGTGATCGAAGGAATCAATGTGAAATGTCCAATGAAATATTTTGGAAGATTAACCAAATTTATCAAAATGTCCCTCTTAAAAATTATAAATAGCTCTTTTTTTCACTTTAGAGGGAAGGAGAAGAAGAGATTGAGATGATTGTTAAAGATAACTCTTAGAGTTAAAGCGGCTGTCCTTATTCACTTGAGATCGTAGCCGACCACAAAAGTTTGTTGTCGATCGCAAGTTTGTCGCTGACCACCAATGGTCACTATCAGTCATCGTCAACCAGTAGCCATTGTCGACCGCCACCACTAATGGCTTTGATAGCCCTATTATGGCTATTATTGCCTTTCTATAGGTATAGCCTTCTACTGTGCTATGGCCTTGGTAGCTCTACTACGATTGTCATAGATATCAACTATGATTTTTATATTCAATTGTGGCTTATATAGCCAACCACGATTATTATAGCCCCAACACTACTATTAAAGTTAGACTACAATAGCATAGTCTCAATTACCCTTAATAGTTATATCTGTTGGGTTATTTCAAAGCATTTATGATTGAAATATCATCTTGTAATCTCATATTACCTAATCCAAGTGAAGAGTGGATCTATGTATATCTGAGTACATAGTGAATTATTTTAACTGAGTCAGCCCTATCATATTTTTCCTTTCTAAGGTTTTCCAATGGAAAAATCTTGGTGTCTCCTCCCATGACTTTTCTCTTATGTTTGTGTTTGTTCTTTGTGCAATGTTATGGCATTAAGTTATCTACTGCCGCGAATTTTCTAGCACACGACACTACTTGTACTCTAAGCTGATTAAATAATATGTTACTTTTGGGTCCTTAAAATTCTGTATACATCACGTAGGAGCTTTTCTTTAAATTTGAGCACTAAAGTTGATGAAAAGACAATTTATCCATCATTCTAAGTTGGGCGTGTCATTGTTGTCTATTTGCGCGATAGCATGTTATATGAGTTAGAATTTATCCGTCTTTTTTGGGGGATTTACGTACATATCACACAATTCTTATGTATTAACATATTTTGACACCTAAACTTTTGCATTTACTTATGTAACACTTAATAACATCAAATCAGGTGCATGGAAAGATGTGTTTCACTTTATAAAATTTAATTTTAGGGATATTTACAACATACCACCCAATTCTTATTTTTTATATATATATATGCATAGGCAAGGTGGATGTATGTATAAATTGAAGCTTAGTGCTACATATTTAAATGCATAAGAATTGAGTCGTACATATATAAATCTTTTTTAATATTAATGCTATGTTTGATATGATATTAAACATCTGAGTGTAATGTAAGTAATATTAAAGTTTAGGTGTTAGATATATAAATATATAACAAATGTGTGCGTATGTAAATTCCACATATGTTTTTTATTTTACATAAATGCAGGCTTAATTGGTTCACTAGCTGGGCTATCCTCGATTGAATTTGGTCAGTTGCTATGTTATCTTGAGAACTCATTGACCCGGCAATCCTGCTTGATGGCAATAATCATACCCAGCTTTAACCTGAACTCAACTTACTACTAAATGTTTGCTTATAACTCCTTATAATTTGTTTTATTTGCTAGGATATGTTGCTGCTGTAGCATGTTAAATCTTCTTTATATAACTGTGACATATTTTAATAACCTCAGTTCTGGGCTGTTTTTCTTGTCAGGCAAACAGGGCAGCTCCAGGTTTTGAGCGCCCATCATCAATCCGGAGGGGTACCCTCTTATCTATGAATATTTCTTACATAATTTACAATTCTAACCTAACTTAATCCATCTTGCACATATCTAGGAACGCTCGGTTTCAACTATTCTCTATCTTGTTTCTCTGCAAGATATCACAAACTGTCCTTTCCGTGTCGTTGATGAAATCAATCAAGGTATGCTTCTTTTATAAAAAAACATAAAAATGCCTAATTTGTTTCAACTGCCTAATGATATGATTTATTGCTAAATTGTTGAAAGGAATGGATCCAATAAATGAAAGGAAAATGTTTCAGCAACTTGTGAGAGCTGCAAGTTTACATAATACACCCCAGTAAGAAATAAAGTTTGGACATGCAGCCTCTCTCTGATATATCTTGTATTTCAATAAATTTTCTTTCAATGTCCATTGCTAAACTGTGGTATTGCACTGTCAGGTGCTTCTTACTGACGCCAAAATTGCTTCCTGATCTTGAGTACAGTGATGCCTGCAGCATTTTGAACATCATGAATGGTCCTTGGATCGAAAAGCCTTCTGAAGGTATTTGTATGTAGCATCCAAAAAAAAAAATAGTAATAATAAATTAAAGGGGGATTTGCATACATGCCACACAATTTTTATATATTTACATATCTAACACCTATAGAATTGTGTGATATGTATGCAAATGTCCCTAAAAGAATATACAATTGATGTGACCCAACCACCCAACCGTTTCTACTTACAAAATGAAATTGAAGTTTCATATTTAATATTCTATTAAATTTTGTTTTGCAAATACAGCGGTTTCCCAATTCAATTTTTTGCTTTTGTAGTAATTTTGTAAGTAGGCATAATTTCAATGGTTGATTTTCTCAATTCCTGTAACCACAAGTTTATGTGACGCCATTAAAGGAAAAAGATATTGCGTCCTAAGTCCGGACGCAAGCTGATACACCGGGGGTGTTTTTTGTCTTTTTTTATCCTCTGATTCGTCTGGTGAATCGCGTCCGTTGTCCAAACGTTGCTTTGCGACCGGATGCAGGACGCAATATTTTTTCCCATTAAATAGAGCAGGCTTTACATCCATCCAATTCAGTATTTGGCGCAGGATTTTTTTTTTTTTTTAAAAAGATCATTGTACCACTTATACAATATTTGTCCTTTCATTTAATATGAGAACTAATATTTTAGTTCATATAAATCGCAGTTTGGAGCGGCGGTGAATGCTGGAGAAATGTGTCGGGCTTGGTATAATATGTTGATTTTGATAACTTGCCAAGCAACCTGGGTTAGCTTGTATGTACTCTAAATATTTTATACGATGATCGTGGTACTTGCTTCATGTTATATTAAGCCATCAGGAATGACCCACTTGACACATAACACCTCATCATCGGACTACGGATGCATCCGGAGTCCATATGTAATCTTTTTTTTTTCCATAGAGCAGAGTTTTGATCAGCTAACAAAGCCAGTCGAGACAATTTTGATTTTACTTGTGTTAGTTCTTGAGTTAGGTTATTTGAAGAAATATTAGTACAACAATAGTGTTTTTTTATGTAGTGTTGAAAATATTTTAAAATTATATCATACTTTCTCCTTAATGCTGTTTTATTATTATTGTTTTTATTATTATAATAAATATTTGAATAAAAAATTAATAATAATTTAACCAACTTGAACTTGAGTAATTGAGCTTGAGCTCAAATTTGAACTTGATTTGAGCTCTGTCAGAGGGATCATCATATTCATTTCAAAACTCCGCTCTATTTTATGCAATATTTCAGCTATTTAAATTAAAATTTAGGTGTTAAATATGTAAATACGAAAGAGCCTGACCCGGAGCAATCTCAGCCGCCTAAAAACTATTGACCTTTTAGATTAACTGGGTAAATGTCACGGGGGCCCTGGTACTGAATTAGCCCGAGCTAGTTGGCCACAGTTTGAAGTATTAAAAATTTAGATTTCATTCTTGTCAAATTCGTTATGAATAAACAATATTAATTTTCGATTATATTTAAGAGGAGAATAAGGGCAAATTTTTTTTGCTATTTATAAATTTAGCACATTATTTCATCCATTTTTCGAATTGTCGCTCAAACATAAAAAGATAGTGATAAATCCAATCTGAAATTACATACAAGGTGCTTGAAATGCAACGATCTATAAATTAAGTATCTTCATTCTTTAGTTCATTTTTTATATTCTCGCTCAAACAAAAAAATAAAAACTTTATATAATTTTGAATTGAGGCAATTACATGCAGGGCACTTGAAGCAATGCTTTGTATAAATCAAGCATCCTATTTCATTTATTTTTCAAGTTCTCACTCAGAAAATAGTGGGAGGTAATGATAGAAGATACATATAAGGCACCTGAAATATTTTTATACTCTTTCATCCATTCTCGAAATTCTCACTCAAAAAATCAGTGGAGATAAAAATACCATTCTAGTGTTTTCATGTTTTTTTCATTTCGTAAAATTGGTTGAGATAAATCAGAAAAACACAAATCGCAAATATCACGAACTTCTGACAACAAATTGCATATGGGAAAGCAAAAAATTGCAAAGAGAAGGTCATTCAATCGAAAATGAGCCCGGGAATTATTTACAGAGCACAGTAACCAGAGATCAGAGGAAAGAGGAAGAGAAGGAAGACAACAACCAGAGAGGGGCACGTGAGAGGCTGGAGAGAAGCGTGAGAGAGGCGCGAGAGAGGGATACCTAGGATTCACGAGAGCGATCGAGAGAGGCAAAGAAGTGCGTCGGGTAGAAGAGACGTGAGAGGGCGCCACGGGTCGAGAGAGGCAGCGGGATAATACTTAACGTGAAGAAATGTGGGTTGCATGGTTGAATCCACAGTTGCGTTTAACACATTATTAGAAGCTATAGCGCCACAGTAACCTAACGTCTCAGCCAGTGTTTTCAAAATGCACCGCACCAAATAAGCTGCCTCAAATGGCCATATGTTATTATTATTCGGCCCCTCGGGAGAAAATATTACATACGAACTCCGGATGTAATTTGCGTCTGGAATCTGATAATGGGACATTATGTGTCAAATAGGCCCAACTAAAATACACCAATATTGGCCAGGGTTTAAAGAGGTGGGGCCTACTTGACACGTGTCGCCCCCACCATTAAACTTCAGATGTATGATGTAATATTTTTTTGGCTAAAAGGGTGCTTGGGTCCCATGATGTAAACTTAATAAATTTATTTTTTTGTTTTTATTGTCTTCGTCTCCTATCCAAATTCTAGTCTTCCAGATTTTGCCAATTTTTTGGGAAGGTGCATCCGAGGAGACTTTCATCGCCCAATTGAATAATTTAGTAAACCCCATACAACCTTCAATCTTCCACATCGGCGCTAAACTCCTCGAAGCAGAAGGTTTTGGAATGGCTGGTCCACAGTGCTGCGAAAATCCGCCGGATTTGAGCTCGTCTTCCGGCGATGGCCATGTGTTGGAGAGCTTCGGAGGCCTCAAGTCCTACATCACCGGCTCCTCCGCTTCCCAGGCTGCGGCTGTTCTAGTCCTTCAATCTTCCTCATCGGCGCTACTCCTCGAAGCAGAAGGTTTTGGAATGGCTGGTCCACAGTGCTGTGAAAATCCGCCGGATTTGAGCTCGTCTTCCGGCGATGGCCATGTGTTGGAGAGCTTCGGAGGCCTCAAGGCCTACATCACCGGCTCCTCCGATTCCAAGGCTGCGGTTGTTCTAATATCGGATGTTTATGGTGAGTCTTTTATTATCGTTTTGTACTGGCCTGAAATTTGGATGTGGGTGGGGTATCAGGTGGAACAACTGGCGTCAGCTTGCTGTTCTTTTCTTATTTTATTTATTTTTATTTTTTTTTATCTCGGATTAATCATGGTGTCTGAAGGGGTGATTTGGTATGCTATTTTAAGTCCGATTTAGGTAAATTTTAGGACAATTTTTACATAACTTTTTTTAAGGTTTCCGAGTGCTAGAACGTCTTAAACCTCGCCAGGATTTATAAGAATTTGTCAAAAACCAAACAGTTCTTCAGAATTTAATGAGATTTAATAATTGTTATCTATATTAAATTTCAAATTTTAGTTATCTTAATATTTTCTAAACTTTTTTCTATATTCAATTTAAGAAAATTTATTACATTTTATTTGACCTAAATAATATTTGTTGCCAAACAGCTCTGAAAACTTGGTTTTGTTTGCTTGTTTGCTTGAAGGAATTTTAAAGGTGTGTATTGTGTCGGTTTGCTCAGTTTGGTTCAGATTAACTGAATTATTGATTAACCAGATCATATGACAACGTGTTCTGATTTCTAGTGAAAATAACTAGAATATTCATCTCTTGAAATTTATAAATTGATCCAACTTCTAGAAAGTTAGAGTGGTTTGGATAAAGCCACTAGATGGATTCTATAGTAGATAATTTAGTGTGTTGCTTGTAGGTGCCAATATCTGCCTTCTCCAAGAAAGTTGACTTCCATTGTTGCTAGCAACGTCGACACCCTATATAGAAATTAATGCCCATGCTCAATGATGTAGCTCGTTGAAACCAACATTAATTCTCAATGTTAATATTGACTCCCTCGACCTTATGAAATTTGATGCCTGTCATCGCTTACAGAAGCAAAGATCACCAATTACATTAATGCCTTCAGTCAACTTGGCCATTAAGGACAATGGCAGCTGTCGACATACAATGACTACATCTTCCATTACCAATAAGGCAAACATCAAAACTAATATATGTTGTCGATGCCAACACCATTTCCAAATAATGCGAACAAGGTCAACACTTGTCCACGTAAATGCTCATATGCAACAACGCCTCGTTGACATCAACACCAATGCCCAACATTACTAATAAAGCTAACGCTTGTCATCGACACCAATGTTGATGCTCAATATGCTATCATTACTATAATCAATGCCTGCTATTAACATCGGTGGAGATTCCAGAGATTAATACGAATGCTTAGGGCTGTGATCGAGCCGAGTCAAATTGAGTATATCATGGATTGTATTTGATTAGTTTGAATCATAAGTTGTTCATATTTAGTTTGAGCTTGACCTGAGCTTTCACATATATATTCATACTTGGTTTGTTTAAATTTTGTAATAATCATGCTTGTTTTATGCATAGCTTGTTTATATTAATTGAATATAGCTAATATTCTAGTGACTACTTATTTCATTTATATAAAATTAACAATTTGATTTGTACTTGATTTTTCATATAAAAATAGTGAACATGTTAAAAATTTGAGTGAGTATTTGATTTTTATTATTTATTTAAGGTTAAACTTTATTTAATAAAATAACATAAATAATTATTTATAAATTAATTCATTGAAATAAAAAAAGTAAAAGAAACTGCACTAATTTCGTATGCATATTGATATTAAATTATTACATGTTACTATTAAATAAATAGTTAAATAAGTTTTAATTAATTAAGTTTGTTCATATTAAGTTTGCTATATTAAATTATTACATGTTACTATTAAATAAATAGTTAAATAAGTTTTAACTAATTTCGTATGCATATTGGTACATGTTAATTACTTGTCGAACAACAAATAAGTTTGTTCACGAACATTAATAAACGTGTTGGATTATGTTTAAATTTGGTTCATTTAATCTTTGAGTTTAAAAAAATATTCAAACTTCTATATTTACTACTTTGAACAAACATAATCGAGTAGAATTTGAGTTGTTCATCAAGTGCATTGCTTCATTTGCATCCCTACCACTGTTGATTCTTGGCATATACCTATTGTCGATGTTTGACATAAATATCAACATTGAGGCTCAACGTCAAAGCCAACAAGTTTGGCACTATTATCCACCAATTTTGATGTTTGTCGTCACCAACAATGTTAACCCTCACTATCAATGCCAGAGTTGATATCTCGTCATCAATAATTTTGATGTCCAACTTGACAACAAGAATGATGACAAACATTAACAACTACGTCAGCGCTTAACTCAACACCAACACTGTCACCTAACATAAGTATTAATGTCGACAGTTGATGTTGGCATTAACATTGATGCTCGTTTTGCCTATAAGATTGATGCTCATCATTGAAACCAATATCGTTGATGATATCACCGACACGGGTGATGATGTAATCAACACTGACTCTATGACTCATCATTGCCAATTTTTATGCTCAAAGCTGCCACCCATCTCGATGCCTATTGTGGACACCATCATGGCTGATATCTGCATTGAGACTAACACTGGTGTTTGCTATCAACACTAACGTTAATTCCGACATCATTATTAGTGCTAATGCTGGTCCTTTAGTTGCTAAGCCACCTCACACACCATCATGGCTGATATCTGCATTGAAACTAACACCGATGTTTGCTATCAACACTAATGTTAACACCGACATCTTTATTAGTGCTATTGCTGGTCCTTTAGTTGCTAAGCTCCCCTCACACAAGAAAAACAACGAAGCAAACTACCAATGATCTTGTAATAACATTTTCAAAACATTAAGGCTCCTTATATTTTCACCATCGAAGTTATTTTCTACAATTCATATTTAACCCAAGAGAAATCATTTTAGTTGAACCAGGTCTCATGATTTAATCCTTTTACAAGTTCTTTAGATATAAAATTGTCTTCTATGAACTATGTGCATGATCTTCGTATAGTACTAAAATATTGAATTCTCTTTACAATCATAAATGTTAAATGGCAACAATAATATGTATTAATTTTTGTTAGTTATTTATTTAATTAAATTTTCAAGGCAAAAATCAAATAAATAATTTTAAAAAATAAACTTATAATCAAAACTAAACCAATTCTTTGACAACTGAACCAAACTAACAAAAAAACTGGTTCAGTGAGATTTTTAGATTTTATTCAAACAATAAATACTAAACGTTGAGTCATTTAGCACCTTTTTAATCCCACATTGAATAGGTAACATGGTTTGTTAATTCCAAAAGCATTTAGTCCTTTAACCTTGCACTTCTGTCTCCTTCGATTTAGATGACACACTTCTTCTCATCTCAGATATTTTGGATGGACTCTGTTGATATTTACCTGGTCATTTTTTAATTTAATGGCTGGTTCTGGTTGTTGGTGGTGTATTTTCTTGAACATTTGGCATGCAGTTGGTGTTTAACTTTTTCTAGGATCAATCATGACTTAGTTTTTTTGCGAAATTGATTTAAGATTGTGCCTTTATAACTTAAACTCCATGCAGAGTTGTTCTTATATTTCAAGTAATTTACTATGATCTTTTCCATTATATGTTTATTAGTTGTGGTTTGTTTGTAGTAACAGTACCTTTTTAATGTTTATTCAAAGGCATAATTCTATATTCACATATATATTTACTTTTTTTATTGTTTCTTTCAGGTTATGAAGCGCCAAACTTGAGGTATAATTGACTACTTGACTGTTGTAATTATTTTAGTATACAGTAATTTGATTCAGTGGAAACTACATGAGAATCGAAATACTTTTGAACTCTGAGATTTATAATTAAAATTTTTCCTATTTTACTTATTTAAACCATTTTTCCTTTCTTGTTACATTTTACAAATCTACTTTTGTTGTAGATGCTGTAGATACAATAAAACTGAGGAAAAACATTGAATAAATCATAAACATAATTTTTGAAATTGTTGAAGAGTTTTTCGCGGTGAGAAGATGTGATTGACTTGCAAAGTGAATGAAGTGGTCCTACTGAGTCAAATTGGAATTTAAAATGTTGTTAAAATAGACAGATAAGACTGTTGACAATAAAATGGATTGATCACCTGAAATCTTGTGAACTTTTTCAACACATTATTTATCTTAAAAATTATAACCATAAACTCATGTAATAGATCATTTTCTTATAGGCAGTTGACCCGACTCGCAATTACGCAAATATTTTATATTCCTAAATATGTCAAAAACTTGACCCAAATTATATTTAGCGGCTAGTGAGAACAAATGTAATATGATAAAAATTAAAGAATTAATTTTCTCACTATGGGTACTACGCAAATATACATATTATTTCAAGTAATTTAGAGTTTTTTTAAAAAATCTCAGTATCGATTCCACAGGGAAGACAAAAACAAGAATACAATAAAATGAAATACAAGAATTTTGACTTTAAGAAAACTCTACTTAAGATTACAACAATTATCTGAAGATGAAAATTAGGTTTACTAAATTCTACAACATGCAAGTAAAAGTAAATGTAATGACTTAAACAATATATAAGAAGAGACTTTCTCCTTGCCAATAATTCATAATCAGTGTAGAATTTCAAAATTGTTTAGAAACTTAAATGTGGTATTGTGACAAATAAGTGCATACATATTATTTATTTATTTATTTCGAATTGTGCAAAGAACATTGATTAATCTAAAGTTGGCAGCGGCATGTATATTAGTGTTGGGTAGGTTCTAATCTCTCGCTCCTAGATTACCCACTATGACCTCTCTATAGGACTTACCAATGACCCTTAGTTCCAATCTCTAGACCAAATTGATAAAAGAATCTAGTCTGTCACCCTAGAAATATCAATTCTACGCCCATCAAATCTTATCTCTCTATCTATTTGCACCCCCGTTCGGACGATCGCAATTGCTCTTTCCAAGGTAGAATGTGATACTTACAAGTCAACAATTCTTAGCTCTTTCGGGTTTATAAGTTCCTCAAGTGGTTTTAACAATACAAGTGGTCAATTTGTAAAATAAATGAAGGACCGGTAAAAATATCATCACAATTTTTAGGAATAAAAGAAGTTCTAAACAATATCAAAATCACTTACTTAATTACTTCATATTTTTACTTCATATTGTAAAGAGAAAGATAGAAAACTACTCACTAAATATGGGGATAACAAAACAAAACATATTTATAAAACTCTAATCTAAAGTATAAAATTTAAAGACAAAGATACAAATTCTTATCTGGAATTTTCCCCTAAGCACTCATCTGAAGTTCTCTGACTTCTCTGACTCTAATGGCACTTACAAGACTCATAAACTCCAGAAATAACAAATACTCACAAAGAAAACTTCTTACACAGTAACACACTCATACACTATGAAACTCTATAGATCCAACCCTCTAGCCCCTTGGAATTAATCTATATTTATAGAGCTTCGAAAATGATCAAGGGTTGCTTCAGACATCTCTTCAAAATTCGGCCTCATTCAGTGAATCTTCTAGAAGATAATTATGGCGCCTAGGCGCCAGCCAATTTTTGCTTCCGGCTCTTAGGCGTCAGTTCGACTGGTTTGGTACTTTTCTTTAATTTAACCCATTTTGCTCCTTTTTTATGTATTTTTGTTTATTTTTACTCTTAAACTCTTTTTCTTACACCTGCAACAAAAAACATAAAAACACCCTTCGTTAAAGCATAATATCCTAAAAAATTGAGCATAAAATATGCATAAAAAAATAGGTAAAGGTGGATCAGCGGTCTTCCACAAATCGCACTCACCGAAAGGATTTGATGGTAATCAGAGGCGGAACCAGCATTATTTCTTAGGTTGGGCAAAATCACTAAATGTATATTTTTTTTTAAGTATTGGGCAAAATAATATATTGAGTGGGGATTACTAAATTGCCTAAACTAGATAAGAAAAAAATTTGAAATTTTACTATTTATATTGAGAAATCTCAAATTTCAAGCGGCGCAATTGCACACCCTGGACATAATCTACTTCCTCTCCTGATGGTAATTGTTTTAAAAGTTCATTATTTAAATTTTATCGATTTTATCATTATTCATTTCTCAAGGACAACCAACTCTAGCTATCTAAGACTACAACGGATGAACTAAAAACGAAGATTATTATTTCTCAGAAATTCTTCTTTCGTTTCCAGTGCTTTGTATAAGAAGTGGCAAATGAGCAAATCAGATTTAATTAATTATTTTTGAGCAAACAAATAGACAATTTTTGCAACTAATTATTTTAGTACAGGAATGAAATTTTCTTAAAATAGAAATAAGTTACTTGAATCAAAGATTGATAACAGTACTCGATATAAACATACCTTGACAAATTAAAATTTGACTCAAACTAAATTAAGCCTTTCAATCTGAATATTAACTGAAGCATCATTGCATTAGAAGCTCTGGTGAAAGGATACCAAGCTAATAATAAATGCTGCAAAATGTTGTGGATGCTGTTTTTGACAAATGAATTGTGCTACCATTCCTTACAGTCGGGCATGAAAGGTGTATTTTTGGTTTGCTATATTGAGGAGAAGCATTCTATGATAGATCTTTATTAGTAAATCTCTTAGACTGATTATAGTCTAGAGTGGTTGGATATTTCACTAATTTGGAACGTTTTCTTTTCGGAAAATTTACATACGTACCACACAATTCTTATATAGGTAGCATATCTTTAATAGTATATATGTTAGATTTAACGTGAATTCAACCAAACTTGAAAAAGAGGGATGCTAAATCCGGCGCTCTGCCAAATCCAATTTTTCTCTTTGTTTTGACATAAATCCGGATTTACTAGATCCAAATTTTGGTTGAATTTAATGGATTTAGCTTTGGAAGAAAAAAACACACTACGAACTTGACATTAATATGCCAAACACATCAATTGGATTTAACGGGATGTAACCTTAACTGAACCAAATAATATTCTGGATTTAACAACATTTGGATTTACCGGATATACTAAATCCCATTCAACTTAAATCCAGGTTACAGCCAAACACCCCAATGTTTGATATTTACAGTTATATTACTTCGGTGCATTTCACTTTGAAAAAAGTGGTGTTTGTGGTATTTAACATTTGAGTGGTATGCATGTAAATATGAATGTTTAGGTGTTAAATATGTAAATAGTGCTTGGCAACCTTTCTTCAAATTCGTCAGTGTTTTTTTTCTCACACTTGTTAACCATAGTTTTTAAATGTCCAAGGACCCTTGCTGATAAAACTGCAGCTGCTGGATTCTTTGTGGTGGTTCCTGATTTCTTTTATGGGGATCCGTACGTTCCAGAAAAGTTACCTATATCAACCTGGATAGGAGGTCACGGCACAGTATGTTTTTTTCCACCACTATACTAATTATAACCTGTGTTTGCTTTGGTCAATTGTCTCTTCATGGACCGTACATGATTTCACATCGATTTCTAATTGTCCGAATATCCTGTAACAACTTATATGCTAATTTATCCATTAATTTTACTTTTATTATATTATTTTCTATCATTCAATATTATTTCTGTAGAAAGCATGATACTATTTTCCAGTACTTTCATTAAAGTTTTCTTTTAGTCTCAATCTGTATTATCATTTTTGTTGTTGATCGACCTCTTCCCTTGTGAAAATTACTTGTTTCTTTTACTTGCTATATACTATTTAATTGACCATTTTTAAGAGGGCGCTAAAGAGTTTGCTGAATGCACTAAATCTGAAGAATTTCATATTTATGAGAAAATGGAGAATAAAATACATGTTGATCCTTGAGAGTACAGCAATGCTTTTTTGGACCTATAGTATTCTGGTCCTGCGTCAAATATTTTTATTTTTGCTTTTATCTTCATTTTTGGATATAAATTGTGATACCTGCCACGATTTGTAAACATCAATCCCACTGCAGTGCTGACATGGCGGCAGAGCAAGTTCGTTTACCTTGATGTTTTTGATGGGGGAGCTTTTTCCGCACAGTTTTCTGCGGTACTGTAGCTGCTACAGTACTCGGAAAATCATATAACGGGAAAGGGGAGATTGCCGCCGAAACGATTCCGTTTTCCTTTCTTATTCTTTCTTTACTATAATTTTTCATTTTTTTGGTAGTTATTCTATACATATGTGTGTATTAGAGTTTTAAGTTTTATTTCAGATTTCTATTTGGATAGCCGCCAGCATCGGTTTGTCCTTTTGAGGGCTTTATCCGAGGAATTGGATGGTGCTCCGGCTGTATCTCTCTCCTAAGGCGGTGATTATCTTCCTCATATCCCCTTCTGCATCTTTCTACATCACTCCCTGCCACTATACCTTGCTGCAGCCACCCGCGACAGCATCCCGATTGCTATATTCTGCGGTTCCAGCCTCCCCCATCGGCTTCTACTCTCTCTTCCTCGCTGCCCTCGCTGTCCCAGTCCTCCACCTTTGCTGTGACGGCGCACAACACCTTCCCTTTGTTGTTTTTCTACTATCCTGCTGTCCCAAACAGCAACCTGCCTCCCCGTGCTGTCCTGCTATTCCAGCTGCCCATAACTGCTGCCACCACCCATCATCCACAATCCGGAAACCCTACCTTGCCACTACCTCTCTGACCCCCTAACTGTCACCATCATCACCCGGGATCCGTCCTAACGTGAGTTGTGTCTTGTGTGTTGTATTTTTTCTTTCAAGTGTGTTGATTATAACCGTCTATTTGCTTCCGATATTAATATTTGCTTTTCTTAATGTGGTTTGGTTTAACTCCGGTATTAGTTTTCATCATTTCTTTGTTGGTCTGTGCACAAAGCATGAACACGACAACCTAGTTTTGGGGCTTCTCAACTTAGATGATATTTTTTGTGAGGAAGGCGCCAAAGGGATATAGTACTGTCACCTTGAGAGAAATTAAATATCTCGAGGAGAATGGTCATTCATTGTTGTTTTCAAGCACCAGCCTGGTTGACTGGTTCCTTTTAAAAAAGTTGCCCCTTTTCTTGAGCAATCACTCTCCAAAGCAGTGCCTCACCCATACGTTGAGTTTGTTGGGAGGGAGAGGGAGAGGGATTAGATCTCATGAATCAATGTGGTCAAGAGCATCAAGCAAGCTAGCAATGGATGTAGGTGGCCGAAAAAATGCATAAGATTTGCAATTCTCGTCTTTTGTCAACTGTTATTTGGTGCATTTGACTATATGTAGTTATAGTCTTCACAATAAATGAATCATCTATAAAAGGATAATCATGTTTATAATCCTTGACTACCTTTTCTTCTACAGCTTGCTGCATGTCCACACACACATCAAATAAATCCTACAAGTTGCAAGAATTATTGTGTGATGCAAATGTGCAAATATTTGACAAAATATGAAAATTAAGATGGGAGATTTATACTTTCATGATATCAGATTGCTTGAATACCGAAATTGATGTTATGTAGAGATCAAGAGTTAGGGCTTCCTTGTGTAAATGACCATGGTTGTAGTGAGTAGTTTTGGGTGGAAGAGAAGATGGCTGAAACAAGGGGAAATAGATTTAGCAGTAGAATAAGAAAAGAAGGTACTAGTTTGGCCCATGTCTGATTGGAGTTATGTGTAAAAGGGTGACTAAGAGCTGCAACCATACTTAGAAAATGGTGTCAAAGAAGAGGCTAATTCGAAATAGGAGTTGGGGTAGAGAACCAGCAAAACAAAGGCAAGTTAGGAGAGCACATACATGCAAGAAAAAAAAAGAGATGTGGGAAATAATAAGACTAAGAGGAGAAACTGTGAGAGAGAGAGAGAGAGAGAGAGATTATGCCAAAGATTGCAATGAGAATATGTTAAATAGATTCTCATGAGAGAGGAGGATGTGGGAGTGCATATCAGCTTCATTATTATGAATCTAACTCTTTGGCGATCACCTATGCGATGATAAACAAAAAAGCCCTCCTTAGAGACCCAATCCTAAAGGCATTTTGATCATGCTTTCCATTGAAAATTTATTATTTTTAACTCTATATGGTCTAAGATTATTCCAATTATTTCTATTGTGATTGCACTATGGTTGTTAAAGGTGAAAAATGTAATTTCTTATTCTTCTTCCTAAAGAAATTTTTTGTAACATGATTGAAGCTCTTCAAGATACTAATTTTCATATTGATCATTATCACATAGAGGATTATGCATAATCCTATATTTTCTGTCAAGGTGATGCTTGTAAACTTAAATACCCTGATATCTATTGACCACGCAGTTTTGTCAGGAAACGGGACAACCTAAACATGTGACAGTAACTAGCTTCTAATACTTTATAGTCTGGTTCACTTATGTGTTTAATCCCAAGGATGGCTCTCGATTAGAATCTCTACCCAAAAAATTTTTTGCCTAATACTTTAAAAAAAAAAAAAATTTAAACCGCTGGATATTTTGCTCACCCTAAAAAAATGAAACTGGTTTGCCGCTCAGCTATTAGAAGATGCAAAAAAAAATTGCACATGTACATTTTTTCACCACACTGCGAGTTCTTATACAAGATTAACATAATGACATTGAGGTTACTTATGCCCTTATATTATAGGATAATCTTTAAAATAAGATTTAGACTAACTAGCAAATATTAAAATTTGACTCTGTCCTCTTTCTAGCTGGCAATATGCCTTTAAAACTTAACTAGTCTCTCTTGTTGTTGTTTTGATGTATGAATGCCCTGTAATTTTGCAAAATTTTGTGCGTCAAATTTACTTCATTATGTTGCTATTTTATTTGTTTGTTTTATTTTTTCCCTTTTAATAAAAATTAAGCGTACAAGCCAATTTATCTTTCTTAGGATAAAGGGTTTGAGGATGCTAAGCCTGTGATTGCTGCTCTGAAAAGCAAAGGTTTTTCTGCAGTAGGGGCTGCTGGATTTTGCTGGGGAGGTATGCTAATTCGTAGATATGAAATTATTTTTGTTAACCAAATGTAAATGGATCACATCTGGGTTTGTCAGCCTTGAGTTTTTTGAGAAACCGAAAAGGAAAAAATAATCTCATGATCAGAACTTGGACATGCGATTCTGATCCTTCCTCATGTGATTCTTATTATAGAATATCTACGTGACACAATTTTACCGCTGAACAATATTTTATGTTTTTTAATTAATTCAGCAGCATCATTTGCTTAAGCACTATTACGGACGAACAGTTGTGTTCATTACAACTTTTGAAGATATGATACTTGAAAATTTGGGGTTTCATCAATCTTACTTGTATTAAGAAATATCCAATATGACTATCATTTAACTAATACAACTGCTTGTTGGCCTAGATTTCATATTTTTGAAACCAGTAACCAAGATATAATTTTATTTAATTGAAAGCCTTATCTGATTAAATTTGATCTGATCTTAGGTTGGAAATTATACCCACATGAGGGCCTAGCTTTAGCATGTCCCTTAAGCCGTTGTCATGGAATATCCTTTTTTTATATATAGCTAACCTGCTTTTTTGGATAATTGCTTGCAATTTGCTAATGTCAAGCATGATGCTTGATGCAGCTAAGGTAGTTGCAGAACTAGCTAAGTCTGATGAGATCAAAGCTGCAGTTATGTTGCATCCTTCACTTGTTACAGTAGATGATACCAAAGGTATTGGACATCTTCCAAATTCAATTGTAATTATTTTATATTGTTTGCTTATTTTACTGAAAAAGGAATATTGTGTAAAATGGAGGAAGTGTATTTTAAATATTTGAATTAATTGATTTCTATAAATCAAGTAGATCACTCGTTTATGTTTGGTTTGGAGTAAAATAATTGATTGCTATAAATCAATTAGATCACTCGTTTATGTTTGGTTTGGAGTAAAATAAATTAATTGCTAAGCTTAACAATGATGGTTGGCTGTGGTGGCGTTCGGCAGCATTAGTAGCTAGTGGCGGTAAGCTACAGTGGCTAGCAATGGTGGCGGACAAAGCTTTGCCCTTGAAGTGTATCTAGAATTCGACTAAAATTAAGCAAATTTCAAGTACATTGAAAATGAATTACTGGTTGAATTTCAAATACTTCAAAATTTTGCAATACATTCCTTTTCATCCAAGCCAAACAACTAATTTTTAAAAATCATGCATTCTTTATACTTTCCACCATTTTTCCATCAAACCCAACCATCCCAACCCGAAACCCCCTCCCAAGACCCACAATAATCTTACTCTTCAATTTTCCATGCGCATAAATTGAAATCCTTCAGAAATCAATATATCTAAGCATTTTTATTATAATTATGAAAAACTTATATGACTAAATATATAAATGTGTTTCCATCTTTTTAGCTACATGGCTTATTTCCTTCTATGTTATAAAACTATTGATTCATTTACATTGAAATGTATATGTTAATAAAATGGCTAAAATGTGTGGATGTGGATTAGCTAAAATCTTTGTATTGAATAAGTTTGTAAAATGTTTGTGTTATTTTTGCAAAATTGCATGGAAGTAGGCAAGCACTCAACTAAAGTTATCTACTGTTTTTCACGCACAGCTAAAATGATGCATTATCATAAAACTCATTTTTTAATAACTTAAATCCTATCTCCTTGATGTGAATCCTATAAATATATAAACGTGTTTCCATCTTTGTAGCTACATGGCTTCTTTCCTCTATGTTATTGTCGGCATTTCCTTTTATGTTATAAAACACATGATCCATTTACATTGAAAATGTATATGTTAATAAAATGGCTAAAATGCATGGATTAGCTAAAATCTTTGTATTGAATAAGTTTGTAAAATGTTTGTGTTATTTTTGCAAAATTGCATGGAAATAGGCAAGCACTCAACTAAAGTTATCTATTGTTTTTCACGCACAGCTAAAATGATGCATTATCATAAAACTCATTTTTTAATAACTTAAATCCTATCTCCTTGATGTGAATCCTATAAATATATAAACGTGTTTCCATCTTTGTAGCTACATGGCTTATTTCCTTTTATGTTATAAAACACATGATCCATTTACATTGAAAATGTATATGTTAATAAAATGGCTAAAATGCATGGATTATCTAAAATCATTGTATTGAATAAGTTTGTAAAATGTTTGAGTTAATTTTGCAAAATTGCATGGAAATAGACAAGCACTCAACTAAAGTTATCTACTGTTTTTCACGCACAGCTAAAATGATGCATTATCAGAAAACTCATTTTTTAATAACTTAAATCCTATCTCCTTGGTATGAATCCTATAATTAGAAGGTATGGGCAAGTAGACAAAGTGAATTGAGTGAGGTAGATGAGTTAGGATCGAAGGGGAGTCTGATACCGGAATTTAACAAACATCCAAGGGGAAAACAAATATTATTATTGAATTAAAATATGAAATTACGACAAACAGTGAAAATATGAAATTGCAACAAAACAACAGCACGACATCAAAACTAGGGTTGCTTCTAAGGTGGAGGTAGTGTCGGCTAGGGGTTTGGACCTCTGAGTGATTGCAAGGGGTTAGCTAGCAGGCTGGAAATGGTTGGCAATGATGAGGGAATGTGGCGACATGAACAACAAGAACAACTTTGGAGGTGTTGTTCAGGGTGGCGAAAACAAGCAAAAAGGGGAAAAACATTAGGTGTGTTGTTTTTTGGGTGGCAACAGCAACAGGAAAGCTGTGAGGGAAAAGATGGGGAAGGGTATATGAAGAATAAACACTACTCAGAGACCAAGATTAGTCGGAGCACGTAGAATACAACCCATAGAGGAAAAAGAGATTCCGACATTTGTTTGCAATTTAATTGTCTTTTTGTTAAATCGGTGACGGCTGTCCTGAGATAAATGACAACAAAAACTATACCGAAAACACCACAAATGCATATATATAATCTCGGCTAACTAGGAGTGGGCCTCGCTTTTGAAAAGAGGAGACACTTTCCCTTGAGAGAGTCGGCTAGTCCTCAGAAGCTTTGGACCTAACTAGTCCATGCAGCAAGTTGTGCCCAAGAAGTTCTGGACAGCAAGGCAGGCAACGATCCCGTCAGTTTCTTGGGATTAGAGGAGTTTTGACCTCATCTGTTGAAGCTTCTGTCTCATAGTAACGAGCCATGTTGTCCACATTGAAGGTAGCATAAATGTTATGATCTTATGGTAAGTTAATCATATAGGCGATCCTGAAAGGTCCATCAGCTTTGGGTTTGAGTTTCCCAAAATTTCTGACAATAAACTTTTCTTTCTTCAATCTGATCCACACTAAACCTCCTACTTGAAAAGTCACATTCTTCTTGGTTTTATTAGCTTTGTTTGAGGTACTTGTGTTTTTGTATGGTTATCTCTTTATTAACCTCTTCATATAGCCTCTTTATCTTTTGCACTCTAGCCTCAGCATCCACATTAACCTCTGTAGCAGGAAGAAGTGGTACCAACAGAAGTGGGTTGAGCGGTTTGCGCCCATACACAATCTCAAAGGGAGTATATCATTTTGTCTGACTCATGAACCTATTGTAAGTAAATTCAGTCAGGCTAGAATTAGATCCAATTGTTTTATGTTCTTACCTATAAGCACCTCAGGAGATTCCCTAAACTTCTGTTCACCACCTCTGTCTAATCATCTGTCTATGGTTGTGCCATTGAGTTGAGCTGAAGTTTAGTACCAAGCTTCCCCCATAAGGTTCTCCAAAAGAGGCTTAGGAGCATGACAACTCTATCGTAAGTGATGGTCTTTGGTATCTCATGCAGTCTCACTATCTCCTGAAAATGAGAGATCATCGAAAAACTATCAACCACTACCATCAATGAATCCTTATTTTATTGTCTTATTGGAAGACCCACAATGAAATCCATACTAACATCCAACCATGGAGCCTATAGTACTAGTAATGGTGTGTGTATAAACCCCTTATTTTGTCCTCTGTTTTTGACAAGTGACGGACTTTGCACTGCCTATCATTCCTCTTCATACCTCTTTAGTTTAGGTATGACAAAAAAATTGTTCCCTCATAATTGTGAGGGCATTGTCTCTGTCAAAATGATCCGCTAATCCCCCATTGTGACCCTTTTGTATGATGACACTCTCAATGAACATCTGGAACACAATCTGTTTTGATGGAACAGGTAGCAATCATATATGTGGTATTGTCCTGTAGTTCTCTCCTGACACTAATCCCAAATCTCCTTGAAGTCCTAATCTGCCTCATACAGCTCCCTCACCACCTCGAATCCCACGACTATGGCATGCATGGAGGTGATCAATAAGTAGCGTCGACTCAGGGCATCTGCTACTCAATTATGACTCCCTTCCTTATGCTTGAGCGCAAACTGAAATGAAGATAAGAACTCAACTCAAAAAGCATGTCTTGACGGTAATGTGGCTATAGTATGCTCCTCTGGCTATATCACCTCACATTTCAGCATGCGCTACTCAAACTCTACTGTGAACTCCTCCACTGATAGCTCTCTCTATTGTAGGTGCTGGAGCTTCAAGAACATGTCATGACGGTAATGTAGGAGCAAGTACTTGCGCTGCATCTTCCTCATATTCTCCTAAGTTGTGATCTTGTTTCTACATTCCCTCTATCTCACTCTCTTTAAATTCTATCACTACAAAAAGATATTTTTCATCTTTATAGCAACAAGCTTCACTCTCCTATCAGCTAACACCTTATATTAAAAAATCCAGTCAACTATCTGCAACCAGTTGATGAAGACATCCAGATTCATTCTCCCATCGAAATCCAACAAGTCTACCTTCACCTTCATGTCTGTCAGGCCTCCAAAAGTCACTTCGTCTCTCAGCCTCCTCTGATACAGACTTTATGGTCTATCCTCCTCTTCATTGGAATCATCTTTATTAAAGGGATTCCAAATTTTCTCTCTCTCATCTTTGAATCTCACTATCACGATTGACGGTTATCTCTCCAGGGATTCTTTCCTCTATTTCCACAAGTATTTATTAATGTCAACGGATTTCTCACTGCATCTCTTCTATGTTGAGTTTCTGACCAGCTTTCGACACTTGTCTCCTCTATCACATGACTAGGGTTTAGATTTTGGAGGTGAAAGATGGTGTATGTGGCTGATTTAGGGTAGGGAAAATAATTTTGGGTGGCTGATTTAAAAAAATCATCAAGGGAGAATGGTTGTGGGTACAATTTGGGTCTAGTATTGGTGGATTTTTCTAAACCTAGGATGGAACTAGGGTTAAACTAGTTCTGATACCGAATGATACTGGACTTTAACAAACATCCAAGAGGAAAGCAAATATTACAATTGAATTCAAATCTAAAATTACAACAAAAAATAGTGGAAATTTGAAATTGTAACGAAAAAAATAACACTCACCCTAATTAGGGTTGATTCTAGGGTGGAGGCAATGTTAGTTAGGGGTTTGGATATTTAAGGAGATGGTAGGGGGATCTGCTGGCAGGTTGGAAGGGGTGGCAGCGATGAGGGAATGCGGCTGCAGCAGTGAAGGGGAGGTGGTCAGCAGCAAGAACGACATTGGAGGTGTTGTTCAATGTGGAGGAAACAAGAAAAACAGGGGAAACGGCTGGTTTGTTGTTTGCTGGGTGGCGATAGCAAAGGGAAAGCAACAAGGTGAAGGGAGTTGATGCGGGAAAGGATGGGGAACGAAATAGGAAGGATAAATACCGCCTAGAGACCAATATAGGATACAACTCGAAGAGAGAAAAGAGACACGGACGGCTGCCTCGAGACAAAACAAAACAAAAATTAACCCTAAAACACCACAAAAAAAAAAATTAATCCTAGATAATTAGCCATGGACCCCTTTATTGAAAAGAGGTGGCACTTCTTCTTGAGAGAGTTGGTCGGCTCTCAAAAGCCTTGGATAGAATCGGTCCAATTAGCAAGTGACGCGCGTAGTAGTTTTGGACCGAACTGGTCCAGGCAGCAAATTTGGTGACGCCCACGTGGGGCATTTTAACTTACTAGTTAAAACTTTTTTGTGAATATTGTATATATTTTTTTCATTACTTGACTAGAAATAATTTAATGGTCTTATTTTATGTTTGAAAACATGTGTACTATCATGACTATAATGTAATACATCTATGTAATACAACCATGATTTGCGAAAGATAATATTAGCAATATTCAAGAGTAGGATATCACATCCTAACTTATCTTTGTAACTACCTAACTTAATGGGAATTAACAAGTAGTAACAATAGACAATAAGATGTGGTTACCCATTTAACATTGAAAAAGATCAAGATGTCGCTTGGCCTTAGGTTAGCCTTAGTGAATACTTAAGTGGAAATGGCATTCATATCATTATGGTCATCGTAGCTAATCTATGCCTTTTTCATTATAGGAAACATGTGTAAAAACGATTTCTTCATCTCAAATCTTCATATGCGTGTTTGATTACAGATAAACATGTCATATTGCTCACATGTGCATCATCAACCATAGTATTTTTTACTTTAGATAAGAGAGTGTCATCAATAACTCACACTCAAAATCATCAGCGTTAGTGTCACCTGTTTCTCACAAAAATAAAATTTATGCTTCACATTAATTTTTTATGTGAAATTTTGTTAAAACTTAAAGTAGACAATGTCATTTTTCTTGGTGTGTATACTAGTAAAAGTCCTAAGATGGGAAGGAGTAGAGGAGGCTGAGAATGTAACAACAGGTTTAATAGTTGCCCTAAGAGTGGATGAGGAAGTTGCATGGCCTTTGAGCTTAGAATTTGAAATAGGAGCGTAATGAAAAGAATATTATGAAGTTTATGTATATTGCAATTCATATTTGTTCAACTTTCAATTTTAAATTCAAATATAAGTTTGTTTGCAATTTAATTGTCTTTTTGTTAAATCGGCCCCTACGGCACCATTTGCATCGTGCTCTAATGAGTCGACGTCGAGCCTACCAAAATATTTTGAAGGCTTATGTTAGGCTTAAGACTAAAAGGGGCAATTTAGTCATTTATCAGTTATTATTGTAGGGTATAAATAGGGCTAATAAATTAAGATTATGATATGCATGTGTGATTTTTGTCTTGAATGTTAGGATTAGGATTTGGGAGAGATCGCCTTCCTCTCCACTTGTAGGTGTTAGGGTTAGAGTTTGGGAGAGATTGTCTATCTCTGAAATTGTTGGTGTTTATCCTTTATGTATTCGGGTTGTGTTGTTTTATGTTAGTAAAATAAACTAATTTTTTCTGCCATAATTTCTATAGAAGTTCCTATCAAACTGGTATTCCAACATTCAATTATGGCAGATAAATATCATGATCATGATAGCTGGGAAGTCGATGATAGGATTATGTACAGTTTTTTTATCAGATATGGGATTGAGTGTGCCCTAGTGACGATTCGAGAAGTAGATGATGGGATTTCCACATTTTTGCCTCGATTTAAGTTAGTTGGGAGCCGTTGGGATCGTGCTTTTACATAGTTGGGAAGCCAACGACAGGATCCCAAGGATGGCGACGTGAATATAGTTCTGATTGAGTGTCGAAAGCCAAGGTTGGGATCACGAAAAGTACGGAGAGGTCAACGATAGAAGCGCAGTGTGCTCTAGTCGCATAGTCGCAATCCAATTTCTCTGAGAATTATCACAGCGCACCCTAGTCGCACAGTCGTGAGTAGAGGTAATCAGGAAACCAGCAATCAGGATTGGGGCATTGAGAGCTCTGTCTATGTGATCGAAATTTTTTTTGGAAGTAATGGCATCATAAAAATAGATGCCATGAAGGAAAAATTAATGGAAAACTGTGAGCTAAATCATATCTGAAATGAATGAGTATTTTTCGACCGTAGAGGGGCATTTCTCGGCCATGGAGGGGAGATTTCATAGTCCTGGAAGAAATGATGAAGAATGTTGTGGAGCTTCATGTAAGCCTGCGACTGCTAGCCATGGAGAACGATGACGTCTGGAGCGGACACAAGCGACAACAATCAGAAGCAATCGTGCGGCATCATGGTAGCATCATTGCTTTAGGCGGTTCTGGAGTCATGGGATCCAGCGGAGTAATGGGTAGTAGACTCAAGCATGCAATAGTCCTGAGATCATGGGTTTCTTCTATCAGTGTGCGCCCATATCACTAATCCCATATATAGAAGGTCGGGATCAGGAGATGTTGTAGGGGTGAGATCAGAAGTGTTTTTTTACCGTAGAGGGGCATTTCTTGGCCATGGAGAGAAGATTCATGGCCCTGGAGGAAATGATGAAGGACATTGTGGAGCTTCATGCAAACCCTCCACTGTTTGTTGCGGAGAACGATGATGTGTAGAGAAAACGCAAACGACAACAATCAGAAGGAAGGGTAGCATCATTGCTTTAGGCGATTCTGGAGTCGTGGGATCGAGCAAAGGAATGGGCAGCAAACTCAAGCATGCAATAGTCTTGTGATCATGGGTTTTTTCTATCAGTGTGCGCCCATATCACTAATCCCGGGTATAGAAGGATGAGATCATGAGTTGTTGCAGGCCGGGATCATACAACCTAGTGTGAGCTCGTTCTTTGGCCCAATTTTGTTAGTGAATAAGGATGGGAGTTGATATTTCTGTGTGGATTATCGGGCAATGGACAAGAAAACAATACTTGACAAATTTTACATCCTTGTGATCGATGAGTTATAGGATGAATTATTTGGGGTTGCAATATCATACGAGATTGACTTGAAGTAAGGATACCATCATATTCGAATGCGACTGATGGATGTGCACAAGGCTGTATTTTGAATTCATGAGGATCACTACGAATTTCTATTTAATAGAAATGGTTGCGAGATGAGGACGCTATGTGGGAGCCATACATAGGGGTGAGCATTCGGTTGGTTGGGATGGATCAATTTTAAGATTGCTCAAACAGATTTAAACCGAAATCCAGAAACTGAAGTACTGAACCAAACAAAATTTTGATAAAACTGAATCAGTCAATCCGAAGTTTAGGTTCAAATGAATCAATTTTACGTACACCAAAATAAATATTTGTTGTATAAAAAAATAAAACACACACTGATGTAGTGGGCTAGTAGTAGCAAGTGATATTCAATAAATAAAAATAATATGGTTGCAAAAGTCTCAATATGGTTGCAAAAATAAAATTAATAGATTTCAATTTCAAGAATTATGTTCAATTGATAAAAATAACTTATAACCTAAAGAAAATGAGGTACAATAGTGAACAACCTGCCTTTTTCAATAATGATGACTTTGATATAGCCACAAATGATGACAGGTCTTATATGTTTCAAAAATTTATGGCGTAGCCATTTCAACATAAACAAACTTTTGTTAGAAACTAAACTCACTAGTCATTTAGGGTTAAAAAAATGCCCATCTTTGTTGTAGAAGAATATAGAGAGTTCAATGTCAAATCACTAGCAAGCTTGCGAGATTGTGGACCAGAGTTTTGTGTGAAGAATATTAGGGCTACAACTAGAAGACGAAAGTAAAAGTTTGAATACCCTAATAGGTGAGATTCGTGGGACCAAGACTCTTCATGCCTCTCCAACTTCCCCATTTCCACCTTTGACGACACCTTAAGCCGCATCGTGGTTTGTACCTCACTGAGCCTTTGCCAATACAGTAAAAAGGAAATGCCTACAAATTTGGTTTCAGTTCTGGTTTTACATGCAGAGTAGTAAAATTGCAATTAAATAAAAGGTACTTGAAAGGTAAAACGCAGTAAAGTAAAATGCTGTAGATAAACTGTAAAAGCATACTTGGGCATCTGCTACTGTTGCGTTATTAGTGTTGCGAGCGTAATATGATTTGCAGTAGATATAAATAAACTTACAAGAAAATAAATAAGGCAAGAAAACCCAGCATAAAAGTCATAACAAATGAGTAGTAAAAATCACAAGCAAAAGAAACATATGACGACATATGAAAGATCAGGACTGGGTATAAGACTTTGGTGAAAGTGGGGGCTCAGAGCTGGGCTGTGTGCTTCCCGAAACAGGAGTTACCGGTCTGACAATCTACAGAAGGTAGTCCTTAATCTCGATCCAAATGACTAACCATGGACTTTTATAAATTTTCATAGAAAGGTTTTCATGCACAAGTTGTTTTGTTGTTCAAGTCCTTTTTTATGCAGAGTTCTTTTTAACATGCAAAAGAAATTTTTATTTTATTTTTGTAAATATTTTGTAAAGTGGTACAGTCCACAGGCTAGTCGCTTTAATCGTGCTAGAACTACTGACAACCTAAGAGTGTCGGGGCAACGATCCCACCAAGAATCGGCGAATAG